GAAGGAGCAGTCAAGAAAGCAAAAGAGCTCGTACACTGGGGCACCTACTGGCAAGGACTTCTTTAAGATGCTAAGAGCAAGGATGTCTGTTAAAGACTAAAGTATGGCTGACCTGAACTATGCTGTTTTCAATGGCTTCCTATGCACTGAAAGATGAACCACGAATAAGGAAGAATGGGGAAGAACTGAAGGCTTTGAATTGTGGCTGATGGCTAAGAGCTAACTCTTTACAGGGGAACAAAAACCAAACAGATCTGTCTTGAAAGAAGTGTTGCCACCATGCTCTTCTGGTTGAATGATATTGAGACTTCTCACATACTTTCGGTATATTAACAAGAATCACAAGAAGGTAAGTCAGTAATATCCTGGAGAAGGATATTATGTACTGGAAAGTAAGAGAATCAAGGAAGGAGAGGAAGAACCCCCCAAGGGGCTGGACTGATACACTGACCACAACCATAGAGTTGCTGAGGACAGAAGAGGGTGAGGGTGGTGCCAGATGGAACAAGGTTCAGGTCTACTGAATGCAGCATCACTGTGAGTTATAACACTGTGAGTCAATGGTACTTAGCAATAACAACTTTTTCATTTCGTAGGCAATAAATCCTGTTAGCGGTATATCACTCGGCTAGTGCACCAGTGAAGCTAAGAGAATTAAAGTGGCTTGCAGGACACGCTGAACACTGACACTTCCAATGCACTGACTCTCAGAGGCAATAAATCACACAACAGGAGACTGTCCATCTTTCTCCCGCAGAACAGCTGGTGGATTTGAATCCTCTACCTTGGGGTTGCCTTACCACTAAGCCACCAGAGGACTCAAACAAACACATCACAGCCAGTGTTGTGGGGCTGATCTAAATTTATGGTGACCCTGCAGGACACAGCAGAACTGCCCAGCAGGGTTTCCAAGGCTGTAAATCTTTACAGAGCTGGCCTGTCACATCTTCCTCCCCTACAATAGAGGGGAGTGTTGAACTGTCAACATACAGAGGGCTCAATCTCTGTTTTATGGCTCCTTCTTCATACAAACAGAAATTAAAAAATATTAAAGACCTGAAAGATTTGGACTTAGCACATTTGTGTAAATGTCATTTTCTCTAAGTGAGATAATATGTATCATGCAGATGCACAACCATTATTATGGGCAACAAAACAAAATAAGGCATTTCAGTTATTCATTCAAAGTACAAAATAATGCAAGTGCCCACAGGCCATTCATCGAAATGGAACACTTATCTCACCAGCATAAAAACCTAAATTTCAAGAAATTCCAAGCTACTTTCTCTCACCACAATATCACATGACCATTAAAAAACCCAAACATTCCCTCAAACACCTACATGTAAGGATCAACACAATAAAATGAACCCACAAGCGTTATTACCTATGTGGTGGTGGTGGTGGTGGTGTGTACTGTAGAATCAGAACCGACCCATAGCTGACCCTCCAGCAGGTTTTCAGAGGAAATTAATCACCCGGGAGGAGACTGTCCAGGCTGAGGAGCGGGTGGTGGATTAGAACTGCGAGCTTTTGGGATTACAGTGCAGTTTCCTGCCACTTGGCCACCAGCAGTATGGGATGTAAAAATGAGGCCATGATAGGTGTCTAACTAGAAAATGATGCAGAAATTTGATAGAAAAATATCAAACAAATAAAAAACATGTTCAGTCCACTCCAGTACTGCCAGATTCCTTGCTAAAACCCTACGAGTATGTCAGAAGGAAGCCAAGTAGAAAGTTGGGGAGGTGAGATTCCATCACTACACTCGATTGGGCTGTGCTTGGCTGCAACAACTGCTGTAGACATCATGTGTCTTCTGTGGGTAACGTGATGCTGAAGACACCTCAACTCATGCTGAGGAGGCTTCCCTTCCTCACTGAGGCTGGCTGCTGCTTAGGATCAGAATTTAAAAGCACACGCATTCAGGTAAGTTCCTGCAACAGGGCTGCGTGATGAGGACCCAATGACAGGCCGCGCCTGTAGTTATACTTTGATCAGATCGCTGTCTCCCCTGTCCCACGTCCTCCTCTGTCTCTCTGGACCACTGCTCCCAAGTCATCTCCTGCCCCAGCAGGCCCATCTCCAGCCACTTCCCTCTCTAGCAAAACCTCCTTTCTTAGACCTGATGATTCCCATTAGTCACTGCAAGAGTGGACACACATTTGCTCATTCTTTCCCCTGATTGATCAACTTCAAAGCTGCATTTTCATGTAAGAATTAGACTCTTGTGAACCCAAATGAATTTCTAACACGCTGCAAACTAAGGGTCAGCAAGCTACCCACCATGGCCACACCCAGCCCACTGCCTTTTTTGGGAAATAACAGCCATGCCTGTTCACTCACAAATCACCCGATGCTGTTTCCCTGCCACACACAAGCGCACCGTTCAATAGCTGTGATAATAACTATCAAGTAAGTATAAAATCATTAACTTGGGTCGGAAGTTTATGGAATCCTGGGGAAGCGGAATAGTGGGCCCTGCTCAAGAGAGAAATACTACATACGTATGAATGGCTGAATTTCAAACAAGAACTTTATCCCCTTCATTTTTTTGCCTCAAATCTCACAGGCTTCAATATAGACCCTAAAGCAAAAAAAACCTGGGTCTGATGCCAACATCTTTGTGAAAAGAGGCCTAAGATCCATCCCTGAAGACAGGGAACAGGTCTACTTCATCTGTCTTAGGTTGCCGTTAGTTCTAAGGGCCCAGCATCTGAAATGATGTTGCTACCAACATTCCATGTGAGGTGGACTACGGGGGAAGTGGACCCTGGTTACTCTGGCAGCCTTCAGGAGCAGATTGACTTTAGTAGGGCTTATAAGTCATCTGTCAACCCTTCTGCCTTCTTCAGCTCACATTTTCATGTGCACTTCTTTGCAAACTCCTTAGATACAATCCTTACTTCTCTTTTAAATGTTGACATTCAGGTCTTCATTTTCCCTAACTTCCAAGTAGAGAAGCCACCTATTCTCTTGGTCCTAAAACTAACAGTCTGTTAGCATAGTCTGTTTGACCACAACTGGGAATAAGATCAACTGTAGCTGAAAATCCAACATGACTAACTTAAAAATGTTCCCATTCTTAACGTTTCCAGAGCTTACAGTGCATGGAGCACTGTTAACTGTACACACGTAAAAACAAATCAAGTGACATTAGGTACCTGCCCGCCCTACCCTATCATTACTCTTCTCTTCTGTGGTTTTACGATGCCAGACAGAGGTAACATGAATACCTTTTAGGTCTGTCTGTCTGGATAGAAAAATATGATCAAAGAAATGGGGGTTTTCTATTCTTTAAAGGAGGCAGACACTTCCAGGATATCCTTAGAAAATCTAGAATTCTTATATCAAATAAGTACCTTCTTATTAAACTATGACAGTATTATGTAAATATAGTGGTGAATGGTGGTGTTATGTACCATCAAGTCGGACCTGACCCACAGCTGACCCTCCAGCAGGTTTTCAGAGGCAGTTAATTGCGCCTTCTCCCATCAAGCAGCTGGTGGATTTGAACCATATACTTTTGGGACTGCAGCACCAATTCTTAGCACTTGGCCACCAGTGGTGAGCAGTTATTGATAGAATCTAACATTAAAGTAGAGATACAGTATAGAAATTGTAATAGGAATCCTAAATAATCAGCATTTAAAAAAGGTATAAGAAGGACCCAACTAAGACTAAATCTATTCTTAGGTTTCAAATTCATGTGATGGAAAATTACATATTACATTCATTGGATAGACAGTGGATTTTTGATACAAGAAGTTAATTAAAAATAATGGCAATAGGTTTGTGTTTAGTTGGAAGAGACTTTCTTTTCAGCTCTCTAAGGTCTTATGTGTCAACACGTAGGGTGATTTTATATATATATATGTGTATGTATAAAAGAAACCCTCAAACAATCGCCTCAAGCCATCAAGTCAGAGGCTGCATATCGCACAAGAGGATTCTGTCCATCTTTCTCCTGAGAAACAGCAGGTGGATTCAAACTCAAACCACCTGCCTTTTAATTGGCAGAACAACTCCTTACTCACTGGGCAACCAACGCTCCCTTGGGGTGACCTTAGCAGTCTAAATAAACCTAACACAAGTACTTGACATGTGTTGGTAGATAATCAGGGCAGGGTTCAGAGCTGTTGTACACAGGGTCGCTAAGAGTCACAGGTGACTCAATGGCACATGACAACATCTTTAAAAGGAAAAAACAAAATAATGAAAATATTTCTGTCCTCCTAGGGAAAACCTTCATAAAAAATGAGAAAGCTTCCAAAATAAAGAGGCTCAAATTGAGCAGGAAAATGAAACCTCTTTTATGATTACATAGCCCTCGTCCCAACAGCAAGTTCAGAATCATTATCTCAATAGACACTGAAGTGGAAGACCCTTGTAGAGTACGGAGACTAAGAAGAGCTGACATGGAGCTGAACTCATTTAAGTAACTCTGACAAGAATATTTTAATTGATAGACTGAAGTTCACTTTGAAGTACTGCAACACAAATGATAATGGTAACATATTAAAGAATAAGCTGCATCCAGGATTTGAAACATTCTCATATGTCAAGAAATCATGCCAGAACATCTTTAAAGCAACTTTCTGAAGATGTGCTTCAAAGTGAAAATCCTTCATTAAAAAACTAATCATTTAGATGGTGAAGACCTGACTACAGTTTACTCTTAATACAATGAAGGAGGCATCATGGTGTACCACAAATCAAGGTCTAGATGGGGGGGTGGAAAGGGTCCTAATACCCAAGACTCTAACAAAGTATTTCTTGAGGTGCTAAAATTGAAGCCAAAACTTTGATTCGGAGAACAGCAGAAGTTATTATCTATTTTACTATGCTTCCTCTCGGGTTTCTGCAACATTATCAATAGGTCAGAAGCTTATGTATTTGATGCAACATTTTGAAGTAAGTCTAAAAAAAAAAAGTCCCTTAAGGTCCACTGCAGATTTCTGGGTTGTCTGTAGAGTATGATACAAGAGTCTTTAACTCACCTCCAGATGCCTTTGACCTTTCTTTCAACTTTCCTGCAGCCATTTCACTGGAGCTGGGAAGTTCTGACATCTTCACTCCGGATCGAGCTTCTGCTATTAGCTGACGCGCTCGCTCTCTCAGCTGCCGACGTCGCTCTTCATCTTGCTGCTAAGATATATTGAACAGTTGCCAACTCAGTAATTGACAGAAATGCAATTTCATTTTCAATCTGATCATCACGATAGTGACTGGCTTACAGCATGGTGCTTGGCCCACATTATAAATCGGATACTCGGTATCAGCTGGATGTCACACTGTTTTTAAAAGACATCCTAGAATCAGATGAATTTTTTTTTTAACATTTACAAATTATTGTACTAAAATGTCCATTAAAAATTCAAACCAGCTTTTAAAGAATGTTTGGCAGTATATATTACTAAGAGAATATGAGAAAGAACTTGTAATCAGCAGACTTCTTGTAGAAGAGATACAATACTGACAACAGAATTTTAATTAATAACAAAATTTAACTTTGTAATTTTAAATAAAAGCATAGAGCACTAACTTAAAAGAGGAGAAAAAGCCGCTAGACTCTAGTGATCAAGCACAGGAAATGCTAATCTCTCAGGAGGGCTGGAGTGGAGGTTGGGATAGGGTATCACTGAAACAATTCTGATCATAAAACTAATAACCAGTAATAATAACAACCCAGGAGCCACATATCTGACTATGTCCTCTCCTTCAAAGTGCACATGGAGAAAAGGAATGAATCTTGAACACAGTTTCTGATATTCAAATTGAGCCCAAACTATAGAGAACCAAAGAACTAAAATGGTTTTGCCTTTTTCAAAAGAGGATCATTATGAATCTCAATAGTCAATGTAAAGTTGTGATATAAACATGAAACCATATAAAAGAAGGCATTCATTAGCCTAACCAACCAAAGCCTGTGATAATGCAGCCCCCCACACCTGTGCAGTTACTGCCCCTCATCCCACACACCACCACAGAACCTCTCATCTATTTATACACAGAACTGCTTGTATCATGTAGTTTCATGCATCTGTGACTTTGAATGTCATTTCCTCTTCATGGAATGTCCTCTGATCCGATTCATCTTCTACTCATTCCTCAAGATTCAGTTTAAATTCACTAAACCTCCCCTGGCTCTATTTCTCTCCTGTTGGTGGAATCAGCATTCTGTCCTCTGTACAACGATAGCACTGTGTATTTACTTTTTAAAAATACTTCTCAAGTTACTTTCTAACTTTAGACAAATGTTTCATGCCCTCTACAGTTCAGTTAACCGGAAGGCATGGATTATCTTTTTTTATCTTTACATCTCCAGTTCTTTCCACACACCTTAGCCCTGTGCTATTAAAAATTCATCATGAAGGGAGCTCTGGTGGCCTACTGGCAAGAAGCCACATTGCAATTCCAGAGGTGCACGGTTCGAATCCACCAGATGCTCTGCTGGAAAAGAGGGACAATCTCTTCCTGTATCAGTCAGATCCAATTTGACAATACACACACACAAAATAATAAAATAAAAAAAAATTCATCATGAATTACTTATTACTTACACTTTAAAAAAGGTTAACATATCATATAGGGACTGATGAAACATAAAAACGTATGCAATAAAATGCTGCAATTTGAGAGAAAGAAAGAATGAATGTTTTTGGCCAAAGAACAAACAGTAAAATAGTGGGGATTTTGTTGTTTTTACTTAGACTTGAAGAATAAGTAGGATCTTTGTAGGTGGAGAGGGGATTAGGAGAGATGTGTTGGTCGGTATAGGAGAGAGTCAAACTCAATTCAATCCACTGAGTTGAAACAGACTCTTAGCTCACCCTCCTGGGGGTTCTCAGAGGCTGTAAATCACACAGGAAGAGTCTGCCCATCGTTCTCCTTTTGGAGCTGCTGGTGGATTTGAACCACTAAAGAGGTATGACTCTGAGTGCAACTCCCTCTGAGCTAAGCCACCAGAGAATAAAGAACAAATACAGAAAGACAAGAACTTGTCCTGGGAGAAAAGAACGTAGTCTAGTTTTTCTGAGTGAAGGGCGAAATCATGACAGAAAGACAAGCCAAGAAAAGACTGCTGAGTAGACACACTTAGAAGGCCACGTCTAAGTGTGGCGTGTGTACGTTTTCATTGTAAAGGCAGGGAGGAACAACTGAAAGGTTGTTGGTTTCGGTATTTTGACCTGCTGCTGCTGTTGTTACCCAGGAAGGACCAAGCCAGCTGTGTATCAGGGATGATTAACTAGGCAACAATGTAGAAGACAGACAGGTGTAGAGAAACTAGAAATAGACTGACTGGAAAGCTTTTAAGTCCAAAGAGGCTGTAGTGAGATGCAGGACAAGGAACAGAAACACAGAAATGTAAAACGCAAATCCATAGAACAAGCAGAAAAATCACACCAGAATGCAAGGTCAGAACCTGAAATGTGCTTCAGAATGCTCAGATTCTGACCACAAAGTAGAGGCTAAAGTTAGAGAATTCTATCAAAGCACCTGAAGACACGCTACAGAGAGAAAGGATGGCCACTGAATAAAACTTGGAAACCATCTCTATTTAGATAAAAAAGAAGAAAAGGGGATAGAGAAAAAGGGGGGTGGGGAAGAGAACTAGAACATGAATGTATCATGAGAATCAAAGTAGAGGAGGCTTTCAAGAAAAAAAGGAGTAATCAACTGCATTAAATGCTAAGAGGTTAATGAGTCTGAAAATTTAAGAAAGGACAATCAAACTTGGTGAGCAATGTCATTAGGGACAGGGAGGCAGGAACTCGAAGGGTGGAGCTCAAAACTAAGCAATTCTTTCACACAAACTTTGAGATGGCTAGAAAGAAAGCTGTCAAAATTAATGGGGATAGATTAATAGGGGTGTCAAATGGACCCAAGGACAAGCTTGAAGCTCCCAGTGGGCAAATTGGGACAATTTCAGTATCAAAAAGAACAATAGCAGCCGTGAATTTAATCAATGAAATCACACATTGAATCAATGAAAATTCATGAGTTCATTATGATATTCAAAAAGTGGAAGAATAGAAAAAAACTCATTGTTACCATTTGAGGCAGCTTTTAAAATAACTTGTGAAAATTAGTAATTAAAGGAAAAGAATCAAGCAATTATCTTGTCTTTCCAGTAGGAACTGAATTTTAGGGAAACGAAACAGTCCCAGTAAATGAAAGTGAGCTTAACTTTGCAAAATAAAGCCCATTACCTAAGTGCAAAAGGAATGATATGAAAACATCACTTTGCAAATCATAATGAAACAGCTGATTCTGGGAAAGATTATCAATTGCTATTAAAGCCTTACGTAACCAATGGAAAATTGTCTATTTATATTACACTGTGGCGCACGGATTTTCATGGCATCCTCTCCCAACCACATCAAGATGTGTAATCTCTTTTCTCCTTGAATCAGGTCCAGGTTTACTACCTCCTATGTCACCGAATGTGGAAGTGTCACTGGTGAGTCCCAAGGTTAAGTAAAGCGTACTCCCGGTCCTTTCACCAGGCGCCTGGATGTAACAGCACGCAGAGCCCAAGAATGTAGCTGCTTCAGTACACATTAGAATGCAGAGATGCTTGAGTCATCCTCCCCTGGGTCCCAGACATGAATGAGACTCTGGTTGACGTCACCCTCCAACCATTTCGAGTCTTGCCAACTATGTAAGTCCTCTGAGCTGAGGTCCTGGACAAAGTGGAAGAGAGAAAAGGCATCCCATTGTGCCCTCCCCTCAACTCCTGACCCATAGAATCTGTGAGCACAGCAATAAGACTTCAGAGTGGTTTGTTCAGTTACAGCAATAGGAACATTATGCTTAAGTAATGCACGACAGACCACTTTCTCGTTAGAAGAGGAGAGATTAGAGTACTGACATCTAATCTAGCAGGCAGTTCTAGTACCATTAATGTTGGGTCGATCACTTATTATGTATGGGTTTTGGTTTTGCAACGTGAAGCCCATGATATTCTAGCCAAAGTGTTTAAAGTGAATACACTAAAGCCTTACAGTAAGATCTCCAGTTATTCAGAAGTTCAAGGCCTAAAGAATCATGTTAAAGGGCACATTTAATTACAACAAGGTCATCATTAAATCCAGGCTGGCTACCCCAGGGCCACATTTACCACACATAACTATGACACCAAATCAACCAATCAACACAACAGCAACAATAACAATAACAATAACCTCCCAACCACCTTTACAACCAACAAATGGGACTTAAAAGAACCATTCAGATTCCTCCATTGATATTGGTTTAGCAACATCAGCTATAAATGACATTGCTCAGACAAAGCTGGATATGATCACAATATTAAATGCAGAGAAGCAAAACAGTAAGAACTTACAGAGGAATATGTACAATAAAGACTTATCATTATGGCAAAACAAATGTTGTTGTTGTTGACTGCCTTCCAGTCAAGCACGACTCATAGTCATCTTAGGAACAACAGGCCTGAAGCCTTTCTACAACTATCAAAATTTATCAAAGTTCACTGAGTTTCGGATGTTGTTGTTGTTATGTGCCGTCAAGTCGTTTGCGACTCATAGCGACCCTACTCACATAAATAATATAAATGCATCAAGTTATTTGGAAAGAGATGCACATAATGTCCTGGTGATCTCAGTTGTGGAGAGGGAACAGTCTCCTCAATGAGAATCTGAGGAAATTCTCCTCGATTCATTCTACTTATCTACGTATTTTCATTTGCCTGAATTTTCTAAAATGCACATGAATTATTCCAGTAATGAAAGTTATAAAGAAGAATCTTGAGGAATGAGAAAAGAACATGTAGTGATAGGCACCCTGGGGGGGTGGGTGGTGGATGGTGGACAGGCAGCCAGAGAGGAAGGGCTGGGCAGATGAAGGGAAGCCTACCCATCTGCAGTGTGCAGGCTAAGACTGACGATGCAAGAATAATGGACAGAAATGCTCCGTTCACTAGCACTAGTTATGAAACCCCCCCCCCCCCCAAAACCAACAACCCGTTAGGAATACAACGCAATGCAGGGTTGATAATGCTGAGGATGGGGACTGACATGTCATCAGCCAGCTATGGGTCAGCTCAGCAGTGACCACGAGTGCTCCCTGCAACTGAGTCAAGTCTAACTCACCGTGATCTCTCACCTGGTTTTTAAGGCTGTGAA